GCAGTGAGATCCTTCACTTGTCAAGCTTCCTGCGCGTGTCGGCGTGTTCTCTCATCGTATAAGCGATCACAAGGGGGCACAACGCGCTCTGTCGCACTCAAAGGCAAATGTAGGAACCTCTTTTAACGGGTGTGGCACCAACGATACACCGAAACACTCCATTAGACCTTTCCCAAAATCGCCTTTTGTGCGCTCCAGTCTTTGTCCGCTGGGCAGTGAAAAGCCTTCTGAGCATGAGCCGTAACTGATGTGCGGCATATCAAACACTGCGCATGCGTCCAGAGCTCAGTGACTCAGCATATTTCGCCCATGTGATAAGCGTTTTTAAATGTCAATGTGGAGCGCAAGTTCGTCTGCTTCTTGCGTGGAGTTTGCTGTGAGGTCAGAACACCTAGCCCCGATTGGCCCCGATTGTGAGGATAGTGTGTAAACCCGAAGGCAGCTAGCATCGAGGTCTATCCACTTTCCTTCCAATAAGAGCCAATCAGAGTTCAGCGTCCCGACGTCACCGCAACCCCTGCGCAAGAACTGGGCGAACTTGCGCTCCGTATAGTCATCGACACTTAACGGGCAACTCCGGTTCATACTTTCAATTTTGGGATTATGACTGTTTTAGCGCAGTCAGCGTCCCTGAATTACAAGGTGTAATTTTTTTCTCCTTATTGTGCGTAGTTTTAAAGATATCGATGCCTAAAATTTTTGTTTGGGTAGCGGCCGACAAAACCGAAACGAGCCGCTCGAGGCCCTGTCAACACTGGAAATCAGCCACTATGTGGACGTGACGTCAGGATTGTTCTCGTTCATCGAGTACGCAGGCTAAGCGGCACCAACCTCGGTTGCGCTAGCCGTCTAAAGATAGAATGTAAGCTGATTTTGTTTTAATTCTGTATACGTGGTAGTTATCCAGCATATGTAGCAAGAGTTAGTGCATATACCCAAAAGCCTACCACTGGAAAACCCGTGAACTCGTTCGGTGCCGTACTCGGCGGCCGCCGCCGTGCGTGCGGTCTTCCGTACTCGTCGCTTGTATACCCAAACGCTAGCGACTGGAAAACGAGTGAACTCGTTCGGTGCCATACTCGGCGCCTAAGGCATTCCAAAGTCCACTCGTCGAACAGCATTCACCCACACTTTCTCCAATTTCCGGTCCGTTGGAAACTTGTGAAAAAGCACCTCCGGGTTTCGCAGCGGGTTGTTTGAGCAGCCCACAGCGCTACGAGTTGTACTCGGTGTCTTTCGAGGAACAGCTGGGCAGTCTTGGGCGCAACGAGTTGCTCGCTAAAGCGATTGTAGGAGTCCTCACAAGCAAATAAACAAAAGGACCGAAGCTACATGGGCTACAGATAAAAGCAACGGCTAAACACGCCCAGCACCAGCCCAAGTAGCGGCGGTAGCGTCTCAAAGAAGCGCACTTTACACTGCTCCACAGCGCAACGGGTGCGCCCGTCCGGACCGGAGGAAAAAAAGAGAGCGATCCTGACGTCACGGCCCAACATTACTTTAGCAATCGGCACCCCGCTGGCCGCCCCTCCAAGAAGCAGCGGCTTGCGGTGGGTCGCATTTTTATTATCGGCATTAGTTGAGAATGCGGCGTCCCCCTGACGTAATACTTTGGCTGGGGTCTTATTTTGTGTCACTACAGCGATACCAGTAATTTATTTCATTTTCAGTTTTGGCCGGAGTTCCCCTTTAAGAAACGCAGGGCGGTATGAGTAGCGCGCATCCTATTATCGCCAAGCAACCAACGAGATAGCTACACGAGCCAATAAGAACGCAGAAGACCCCATCACAAACAAAGAAGCATGGAGACACAAAATCATTCATGCACGTGCTTTTTTTCTTTGTGTTTTTTCAGCTCACTATATGACCATAGTCACTGACATTTCAAAAAGCCCTTGACGTGGCTTATGACGTTCACGCGTCTTGCTTCCTGGTTGGCTCTTTGGCGTTCTTATCGGCGAATGCCGCCATCTCAATGGCTGAGGAGCGCTAATCAGATGCATGAGACTCTCCACGCCCTTATTTTGTGAAGTTGTCGCTGGCTATACAGATGGCTTGCACGTGACGTGATTGCCTCGTGCTGGCGGTCATCCTGCGTCGTTCGTATATACTTGTTGTTATTGTTTGTTGTTTGCCGATAAAAACAAATTTGGTGGCGCGAAGTTTGTGCCGCAGAACGTAGACGTCCAGCAGCAAGGCCATCGCAATGGTTGCTGATGTGACGTCAGTGCAAGCCCAGAATACGGCGGGAAAATTCGTATGTCTTTGCCCACTTCGTGCGTGTGTTTAACTCCCCCCCCCCCCCCCCATTAAATGCGCCCATGCATACCTTGTTTCCCCTCGACCTCAACCTATGGAAGCGCGCGCTTAGCCACCTCGTCATCGCGCGTTTCCGGTACGTTCTTTATGTTGGCCTCTGATTGTCGTCTACTCTTTACATTCCGATGAGCCAACGACGCATTTTGGAGCACTTGCTCGCCGTACAGTCAGTGGCAGCTTAAAAGAAAAAACACAAGGCATGGCGAACCTCTTGCATGTCATTAATACTACGCAGTCAACCCGATTGGGCATTAGCTAATAAAGACCTCCAAAACGCGAATCATAAAGCAAGAACATAATGTGCCATGCTCCAAGTTTCTGGAACTGTCAGTAACCATATAGAGTGTTGAAACCCTGACACGCCGTCACGAAGCAGCGCTCGCCTATATATGGGCTTACCCCGGCGTACTCGGCGTTGGGCTCTTGTCTTCCTTGTTTCGAGGCAACGCTGGCTTGGCCGACCTCTGCAAAACGGCGGAGGAGCGTACATATATACAACGCGACGCCTCCGCCTTTCCTAATTTGATCAAATTTAATTTATCGTGATTTTTAGGCCAAGAGTGCCGGTTATGGAAGGGGAAAGTAGTAATCAGTTTTTAGTAATCCTACCAATAAAGTTGAAGACACGCAGAGTGCAGCTTAGGCATGTCTGTCTGTCTCAAGGTAAAGACATCCTTTGTACACTAAGGGTGCCATGACGCGCTGGCGCACTCAGTGCGTGACGTCTGCGGTAAAATGGCGTCTAAGCATTAGTCCCGCGTCGGCCATGTCCACACTTGCACCACCCTCTCTTTGTCGTCGTTCCATGCGCTTGCTTGCCTAGATTCCTTTCCCCCCGCCCTCCCGGCGTGACGGTCCCTTCGCGCGTCTCTAGTTTCCTACGGTTCCCCGGTGCGGGTCTCTGACGTGTGCTAAACAGCTTCGCTGGTCATTTACCTTCCCACAGTGAAATGACTCATGATTTTTCAAAGCAGGCTCAATGGCAGTTTCTCATCTGAGTTGGTCTACTAACGTTGGCATTAATCAAGGCTACGCGCTAAAGCCGAGTCACACCGGATAACGCGCACTTCAAAGGAAATTAAGAAATAAAAAACGATTGGGTGGGAGAATGATTGAGTTGAGGATTCGAAAAATGACGGCAGCTGAGCAGTCACGTTTCGCTCAAGCCCGGCAATTTCGAGCCTTCAATTGAATTTCGACCCTTCAATTAGACGGAACCCTCATACGAAGGGCAAAAAAAGGTAAGCGACCCCTCCGGGCGGAGTAACAGGACCCATCGGTGAGGGATTTTTGACTGGCGACGACCGAAAGGACGGCGGCCCAATTGTCCGGCCGCTGGTGCTGTGCCTCTTAGCTAAACCAAGCGTTTCGAACAACACCGCATCGGCGGTGGCAGTAGCGGCTCCCTCCTCCGCTGCAGCGAGCGTAAAGGCTGCGAAGACAACTCAGAACAACGACATGAAAATGGAAGGCCCACATAGAGTAAACAACAAAATAAGATATTCGGAGGAAACGCAACAGCACAAGGAAGGCCCCAAGTCCTAACTAGCTGGAGGCGAAAGAGAGAGTAGAAAACGGTACATCACCGCACGCGCCCGGGAACAGCAGTAGCGATAAAGAAGGCAGCCTATGGCTTCAGATGGGCCGGAAGAAATCCAAATTGACGAAAGGAACCAAACTGGAGCGTTTCGACTTGCCCAGAATTACGGTGATTGTCAAACTGACGGAACAAGTAAGCATCACAAACATCGAGTCCAAGCTCATCACCAAGGCGCTAAGCTCGCACCTTACCAAACCGCGTGAAAACAGTAGGCTCAGTTTCACCCACCGTGGTTTCAGCACGTGCACGCGCATGCACCAACGCTGTCGCTATCACCATGTATGAGGAAAGGCACGCTCTATATCTGCTCAAAATCACCGCACTCCAGGTCCAAGCTGACCATCCCAAAAAGAAAATCTATAGTGTGCGCATACAGATCCACTACCGCCACCGTGTCCAGAGGCGTGATTCACGGTGTATCGCCCGACATAACGGCCGAAAAAGTCGTCAAAAACACCGACTCGGACTTTCACAACATGACTCACGCGCGCCCGATTGGACGCAAGGGTACTTTTTTTGCCGATATTCGACAGGGAAGAGATCCCGAGAAAAATGTGTCTTTTGGGAAATTGTGAACGTATTCCAAAACAAGCCCGCGGTTGTAGTCTGCCTCCATGTGTCACGGCCAGGGGCACAACGCTATGGTCTGCACCCGCAGACAACGGTGCAAACAGTGCGGTGAGACGTACTCCGACAACGAACAGTGCAGAGACAAGTTCTGCGCCAACTGTAGAGTCGTCAAACACACGACGCTCGAAGTCAGCGGTCCATATAGGAAGCAAGCGGACAAGCGCATGCAAAAGAGAGCAGCTGCAGGGAGATCTACCATCACGGCGACATCAACAGGTGAGCCTCACCGAAACCACGCGGAGAAGGAAGCAAGGCCGCGGACACACGTATCTGTGATGGCGAAAAAAGAAGGCAGCCAAACCCGAAACACTCTATAACAGAGAACCAATCGAAGAAAAACGTTTACTCCGCTTTACACAAAAGAAGAGTACCAGTCCCTCGTCAAACTGCACGCAAACTCTGCGCGACAAGGCAGGTCATACAGCTAGGTACTATGAACTAACCCCTAAAGATGAGATTGCACAAAACATTCTTCTCGCCACGCAACGGTGGAAAGAGCAATACGGCCCAACTCCTAGCCCAAGCCATGCTCGAACTCGAACGCATAGACGAATACGTCAGCCAACTCAGATTAACACAACAGGAGGAACACAGAGAACAATCCAGGTAAGAAGAAAGGCGCCGAAAACAGGCCAAAGCCAAGGAGGCGGCAGCCGAAGCGAAAAAGAAAAACAGGGTAAAGAGATGGAAAGGCAGGCGGAACAGAAACAAGCTACGTCCCGATAGGTCGTCGCACCAAACTTCTTCAAGCAAACGCATTAGATAAAACAGACGCAGGCGCAACCCGCGGTGACCGCAACAAACAAAGATGACGGTAAAACCAATGACATAGAACCTCAGGCAAGAGCTGCAAAAAGTCCACCAGCAGGCCAAACAAGCACAACAACAAGCATTGCAACAGCAATTCCAGTCATTTCGCACAGACAATACCACAAATGCTTGCGCAAGTACAGGCACAACACGGAATAGCAGCGATGACCCCACAGAACCAATATGGCCAGCCAGCCCAACAGCACCCGCAGTAGGCGAACCGCGAAGCTCGAAGGCGCAATGCAACCTTCCAGTTTCAACGTCCTTCACTGGAAATGCAGGGGTCTCAAGGGAAAGAAGGCTGACAACATTGTTGTAATTACAATTACAATACATTAATTACATTACAACATAACAAAAAAAACTTTGTTTAGTATATAGGGCGACCCAAGTCACCAGGCTCGATCTAAAGTGGACCGTAAAAATGTACGCGTGCACGTAGCGCTTCAAACTTTGTATCAAAGGTGTTTTTCACCGGTCGGTTTTTTCTTGTAAAATTACTAAACGCAGCTCTCTTTCTGTAAAATAAGGCCAAGAACCGTGTCAGGGTTAATGGCGGGTGGCGTTGAAACGCCCAAGGCGAGTTGTGTGTTTGGCGCTCGTATCGATAGATGGCGCTACCTCCTTGTTTCGTCTTGCTTTAAAAAAAAATATCAGAAGTGCCCGCGTCGACCACGGTTTATTAATACGAACCTAACTTTTTGTAATCCACCTTTGGCTTAAAAATAAATGCAGACAATGATAGCAACACTTCAAGTAACAAAAAGAAAAGAAAACGCGATTGCGTAACGACGGCACTTTTGCTCCCAACGGATTTTGTCTGCGTGTCGTCTGCTTTCTTTCGCTGGTCGGCTACACCTTCGAACGCTGCTCACGCCATCTATCAATACGCGCGGCAAACGCACCCCGTTACTCGACTTGGTCGTCTGCGTCGCCGCCCGCCGTTGACCCAGGTATGTTTTTGACCCTATTTTTTACAGAGAAAGAGCTACGCTTTGTAATTTTTTATGAAAAAACCGACCAATGAAATACAGCTTTGACAAAAGGTTTAGATTGCTACGTGCAGGCGTCAATTTTTACGGTCCATTTTAGATCGAGCCTCGTGAATTGGGTCACTTTATATATTGCGATATCGCTACGCGGCAACAGAAATGTAGGTCAGACATTGCAAAAGTCCAGGTGATTTAAATTAACACCGAAACCGTAGTTGGGGAGTGCCAGTTTTTTTTAATGAACTGGTCGAGAGTAAACAAGAACATTTTCCGCTATTTCTTTATATCAAGCATACTTACAAACAGGCGGTGTGTGATGCTTCTCAGCTTGGCCTTCAAGCGACACACGATGCGCTCGAAAAGCACCTCTCCAGGGGAGTTCTGAAGAAAAAAATGGCGAGAGACGCAACACCGTCAACGCTGGCATTAGACCGTCGCCCAAGTAGAGTTGAGAGTTAAATTCCCATGCATTCGATTTTAATGAAGAAAACGCCGCATTATTTTCTGCATATGAAAACTTTTTTCTTTCTTGAAATCACTGTATACACTTGGGATTTAAAGGTGTTAGGACAGGGCAAAAAAATAAAATAAAATACGTGATAACTATATACTGCAAGGTACCGTTGTATGTTCCTATTTAGTTTTAAGTTGTATTGTAGATGGCAAGATAGTATCGTGGATAAATCGATTTCTATGCGGGACAACCAGATCCGCCCTATTCGGAAAGGCCGCCATGTTTGGTGAGCTGGTGCCGTCACTCGCCCAACGTGCGGCGTCCCTCGGCACGCACTCGCAGACTTGGCTCGTTCAGCGTGTAGCGAGCGTTTCAGCTGTCTCAGCTTCCACGCTTACCTTCGACGTTTCGAGCAGGCGGTTCGCAATGATGGCAACTATGGCGTCACTCGCTCCGTCCGAGTCTTCGACACTGATCACCACAGCGATGAGAGTGATTGTTATCAAGAGATGTTGGAAGCTGGCCATTTTGACTTCGACAGTCTGGCGACCAGATCAATCGACGACAACGAGATCGTCACGGACGAGCTCGCCGTCGCCCGCGACGATCTCGCACTTGCATGCAGGATGGAAGGTCAAGGGGCAAGGGTGCGAGAGCGAGAGTAGAATTGGTGTAGCCGGTAACGTTCGGAGCGAAATCAAGAAGCCATCGCGGTGATGCGAGCATGGGGGCGCCTAGAATGAGGGAGCGTTCATCAACACATCACGAGCACATGGTTTACGGGAACCATGGCGTGATCAACTTGGGCAGCATTGCCTGGTATAAAACGTACAGGCGTTAGCATGCATCCATTCATCCAGCCAGCCATTCGTTCGATGTCGAACGGCGCCGCCCGCCACACGACGCCGGATGCCACCCTAAATCTCGAGTGGGAGCCCTCGGCGTGCGGCGATACCGTGCTTCTAGCGGGTGGACCTCTATTAGTAAACCGTGGCCCTAGTCTATTGTCGGGGTCGAGGGCCGGATTCGACCCGGAGGCCTGGAAGCATGCCAGTCAGGAATGAAAGCGAGATCCGATTTGGTTCCAAAATTGGAGCAGGAACAAATATCAGACCGGATCTGGACCGGATCCGACCTGCCCTAGTTTTAGATCTGGTTCGGATCTCGCATTTTCAATTCCAGTTTCAGTCTGACACTTTCGTGAGGGTTCTCCGAGCTTAAGTCAAACTAGCGGTATAGCTAACTATATCCCCCCCCCCCCCCCTTCACACAAACTCTTGTGCATAGAGCGCAAGTCCGGGAGCAACCACACTCTGAACAAATTCTGGTCGTAAAAGAAGTCTTCGGTGTTCTTCGGCTTGTTGATATTTTCCACCTTAAAAAGTTATTTTAAGCACCCCCTAGAACGTTTCTTCGTGAAAAACCTACAGGGGGTTCTTTTAAGCTCCTCTTTAGGTGCGATAGAGCTTTTCAGCGCCAAGTTGCCTTTCTAGTGCGCCAGTATACGGTAGTGCTCGAGGTTAAAGTGTTCCTGACGAGCTGAAGGAGTTCTTGGGGCTTCAAAGATCCTTCCAAAAACAATTTTTTTAGAGTGCACCAACAAACACTTAAACAACGTGTGAAACTCACGCCACTCAATCGTATACGATTTAACAGTATCAACTTCCCCCTCTTATGTATACTATTGACTTAAATTCTCCGAGCAAGAATCAGAAATATATGCTCGGGATCAGTTTTCTGTGGCATTTTAGAAGTGAAGAGTGCGTGTGCACAGCTTTTATTGGTGCTCAATATGTTCGAGCGCACCGACACCCAAAGCTTCGGTTTTATAGCCCCATAGACTTTCCCCCAATTATGGCGATGCAGCCACGCAGCATGCCTTCCGCCGGCCAGTGGCTGGCACTGAATCGACACCTTCTAGAAATTAAAGCCTGCGAGCCCGCTTTGTGACGTCACTGTAGGTAGGCCAGCGAGCGGAATGCGATAGACGGCTGAGCGCTGGGCTTCGCTGCGCCGACGTGCTGACAGGCCGGCCTGTAGCTCTGATTGGAAATATGGTACGAAAGTCCCATACCCGTGCGTGACGACGACATAATTACTCGGAGTGAGGTATTTTAAGATTAAAAGAGCATATCACAACTCCAACTTCTACAGTTCACCTATAAAGTGAAGACGCCTGAAAATATTCATGAACCATAATAGGGGCTACACAGTTTCCACAATTATTTAACTTAATCTCTTGTGTGAAACCAAGGCGATGCTCTGCAATCACAAACAGTTTAATTTGAAACGTATTCGTGACGTTCATATTTACCACACAACTAGAAAATGCGTAAAATAGAATTTTACGTCTGGCGCCCTCCAGGTAGTTTCATGAAAGATAAAATCAAAATAACAGCACGCTCAGTCTCACACCATACCTTAGACGGCCACTTTTGTATTTTAAATGTACGAAAATAAGTGACGGCTTACTACTTGCAGACATTGTTGAGAAGAATGTTTGTCGACTCCCTTGCACAAGTGCCCAACTCTTCGAACTCTGGCGGCGTACATAGTGTCAGGTCCCTGACAACGTTCCGCTAATCACCTGACCGCAATAACTAAGCGATGTGCTGGGACGACATAAACTTGTTCACAACAACTTCAGCATTCACTACCATGCTGACGATTAGTTGTATTGGAGGAAAAAGACGACGAAGTGGCATGAGGAGCAGCAGCGTTCGCTTCAGCTCCGCTAACACCACTAAATTCCTGCCATCAACTGGGTCCCCCGACCCAAATCTTTTACCTAAGGACGGCGACCCATCGAAAGACTTCCAGCAGAACCAAATGTAGGCGAGTCTTTCTTTTAATTCTCACCTCGAGAGGCCGCCGTAGACCCGGACCCCGGGTAGGCAGAACTAGGCCTGCCCATCACCCCGCATTCTGAACATGGCGAGTACTGAAACAACGGCGATCGAAAGGTGCACCGAGAACGACGAAAACAATAGAGAGTTTTAGGGAACCGGAACAAAATACGATCGATAAACAAAAACGATCGATACCTTGGATCGGGCGTGTGGACCGATCGTGTGCCCTGAAACGGCTTTGGGGGAACCGTATTTGCAGACGACAGCAGACGATCGGTACAGGTCGCGCCCCCTGGCAACGGAAACCTGCATCCGCCTCATCGAAAAAAGACAAATTTGCGTGTTTGTAAAAATCGCAGAAACTCAAGTAAATAAAAATCGCACCCTAAATATATAGAGAACCTAAAATATTGTATACCTACTTATAGTTCGTCTCGTTTTTTTACAGGAATGAATGCGCTTCCGTAATACAAAACCTGGCGCACCACGGCGTGTCGCCCCTAGCGCAGCGAAGCTCTAAAATGTTCGTCTGCTAAAGAAGCAGACGAGCTTTCCGACAACAATGGCGCTCGATCTTTTTGACCATGACTTGGAGTTGCCTCTATTCAGCGAAAGCAATTTAGAAAAAGTGATTTTGTACGACTGTCTGCGCACTAAGTGTGGCGTGAGTCTCTTTTGAACTTCTCGCTTTCTATAGGCCTCCTGCTTTGCCCAGGAGGCGCTGCGGAAAAACCGGCTGGCAGCGCCCCCTATGATTTGTTTACAAGTATTGGGTAGTACAAAATCGCGCATTTGAATTTGTCCCGCGTGTAAACGTCAGTAGGCGGTATGGATTCCCCCCTTTCAATTGTTCTGCGGCACGGAATTGAGCCAAAAAAAAATTGGGTTGTGTGTGTGTTTATACAGCCTAGAACTTGGTCTGCCTCACAGGGGCGACGAGTCTCCCAGCTGTAGATGAGAAATTTAGCCAGTGCGGTACAGCCGCTAGCCTGGGGTCTTTAACGTGCATCACGCAGTAGTGACACACGACCGCACGCCGGTACGATGCTCATCCAGATCGAAACGGGCAGGGGTGGGGCTCGAACCCAGGATCCCTGGGTTCTGCAGCGCGAGCTTTCGCTCCACGTGCTCCGAGCTGGTGTGCGCTAGACCACTCGGCCACCGATCCCCCCGGAATTGAGCCAATTTCGAACGTAGAAAGCTTTTTTCGTTCTTCAACGCTTCGGAAAGGGAGAAAACTGAGCGATGCAGGCTATGTGTACGCCGTACAAGAAGCCGCCAGTGTGGTGTCTGCGCGCTGCCACTCGCAAGTACAGCGAGCTTGTTACGACATCGAGCTTGAGGTAAGCGTTACTAGATACGTTGACGCGTTAACGCGCAGTTCCTCTGTACATATAAAAAGATCAGCTGATGACCAACCTCCAAAATGCGCAAAAGCAGACGCAAGCGATCGAGCGGCGACCGGCCGTCTGTCGGCCGAGCACATCGTTCCTACTGCGCGCTGTTTCTCGAGCTCTTGCAGCTTTTCTTGCGCATTTGCGCGGTAATATTGACGCAAAATAAGATCAGCAGTAGGAGCTCAGCTTTTAGCATATGCTTGTTGCCCTCTGTAGAGCTTTGGTACCCGCGCACGCTTGTTTTTTCGAAGGTAGAAAGCTCTCGCTGGAAGCGGCGCTTTTACTGCTGATCTCATGTTGGAAAAGACTTTAATAAAAAAAAAATAATGATACTTTATTTGTACTCGGGGGGGGGGGGGGGGGGGGGGGATTTTCGTACAGGGCCAGAAAAGGCAATGCTGCCCATACCGGAAAGAAGTTGTGTACCCAACCTGGGGCACGTACATGCCTACATATGCATAAATAATAAAAAAAATATATATATATATATATATATATATTTATATATATATATATATATATATATATTATATATATATTAAGAGGGGAAAAAACAATCAGTTCGCTCCACTGGTCAGGCAGCATAGCATGTTCCTGTTCGCAAAATGTTTTGATGTGTGTCAGAATAAAATGCTCAATATGCCGACTTTCGATGCTGGTGAGCTCGTAATTGACTGCTCACTATGTTTTGTCGGGAGCATGTATGGTTATGCAGCCGCTAAATGCGCAGTACACGTCTTGATGAGTTGGCTATTTACTTTCAATTTCAGCTTGCCCCTGACCGTCATATCTGCAATGGGAAGTGCACTTGCAAGGCAGGGTACCCCGGCACATGCAAGCATGCTGCTGCCGTGGCACTATGGATTAGTGAACAGCAGCCCCTCTCCAAAACAGAACTGCCACAGGCTTGGGGCCAGCCCTCTCGAAAACCAAACATTGACGCAAAGGAATCGATTGAGGAACTGTTCGGACGTAAGCCTCATATATTGTTTGCTCCTGGCCTGAAACTGAGATTTCATTCCGGTTTTTGTACCTGTAATTGCATTCTCTGCCAGTTGTGTTCCATGATGTCATTCATATCTAATCAAGTTGCTCTTCGCAGGTAAAAAGGAGCTGTTTGTTGGTGGGGCACGGCCTGATCAAGTTCCACCGTCATATGTCCTAAACAGGTTCCCAGAAATTGCGTGCCCTCACAACGACATGGCACGGATTGGTGCCATGACCACCACTGAAAGAGAGGCGAAATCTGTGATCTCAGATGTCTTGAGTGCGGTATTTCACCAGATAGAGCTTGCGCGCCTGCAAAAAATGATTAAATGGGAAAATTGCATGCCTGTTTATCACGTAATGACTGTAAATTTCGAGTCGTCCATTGCATTGAGACTTGTCCGTTGTAACCTGGAGGAGGAGATGACGCCAGCTGAGAGGGAACTATACTCCTCCAAAGTGGCGTGCACGCAGCAAGGTGCCGAGTGCATTGCTGTGGACACAGTGCTTCAGGCAGGCTCGAAAAGGCATGTGCGTTTTAATTTTTCGATAAAAATATATGACCTTTTGTTTTGTGAAGTTGGTATTATGCAATGAATATGTACAGCACATAGTAATCAAATTTTCAATGTGGTCTTTACATACAGGTGGTTCAGCGAACGTGAAGTCAGGCTGTCGAGCTCCATCGCCCACAGAGTCGTCGCTCGAAGGCGGCCATTCGACACCCTTGCCCAAAAGCTACTTCACCGAAAGCCATTCACTGGAAAGGCTGTGACGTATGGTAAGATGATTGAACAGTATTCACATGCACCGAGTGCACATTTGGTGGCATGCTTATTTTAAGTGGCATCCTTATCCTGCTTATCTTTATTAGGACGAAAGACAGAAGCTGAAGCCAGAGAAGTATTTGAGAAGAAGGTTGGTGCGTCCGTTACACAGGTGAGTGAAAGGTGCAACTATGCTCTGTTTCACCATAAAGCGCCTTTCACACACTTGCAACCGAGTAGGACCGAGGGAGACAAGACCGGTTTTTAGGTGTCTTGCGTCGGCGTAGGACCTGCTCCGTAGCAGTGCCTCTGGTCCTATGCTGTCACAAGAGGCTTAAAAATCTCTCTTGACTATCTCGGTACAAATCGGTTGCAAGTGTGTGAACGGCACTTAAGTTGGAGCAGTCAAAGGCTAGGTGACATACCGTACCAACACAGAAAGAAGTGCAAGGTGCAACACGCACAGAGGAATGATGAATACAGCGAGGCTGTGCTTTTGCAGGCTACATCGGCTTGTAGTGTTTGCTGTGCTCCGACTTAAGCTGAAACAAGGCATAGTGAAGTTTATTTCACTTTTGGAGCAGCATTGAGCCATAGATTTTACGTCTAATTTTAATAGCCAAAAGAAATCTTGAATGGAGAGGTGCTCGTTATGGTAGGATTCAAACCTTTGCATGGCAGACACAAGTGTTACTTGGTGCTCCCCAAGCAGTTTTCTTCAATGAAATTGTATGCAAAAGTGAGAAGAAGTGTTATTGGCGAACAATTTCTTATTAAATTTTCTATAACCCTTGTCTCCCAAACTTGTGGTTCTGTTTTTATTGTTGCCTATCCAGTTCTATTGAAGAAGTGTGTGTGAGCGTGCATGATCACCCTAATGTCACAACCAATATAAACTCAGGTTGGCTTGATAGTGCACTTGAGGCAGCCATGGCTGTGTGCCAGCCCCGACGGATTCTTCAAGACCAGCGACGAGACGACACTACTGGAAATTAAGTGTCCCTATTCAAGGAAAAACAAGGTTCTTATCGATGTGAGCAAGGAAGAAAGCTTTGTCAAGTACATAGTATATGAAGAGGGGCGTCTGATGCTGAAGAAGCGCCACACATACTACACGCAGGTGCAAATTGCGATGTATGTGACAAACACTACCCAATGCTTCTTTTACGTGTACTCGTCGAAGCAGGATGTCATCATACTTGTCGAGCGGGATGAAGGCTTTCTCTCAGAGGCTGTCCCCAGGCTCGAGCTTTTCTATTTTAGATATTACTTGAAGGAGCTCCTTCAGTCCTAGACTCGGAGTATGCACATCGAGACAGAATGAGTTTTATGCAAGCTTTCTTTTATACGAGCGAAATCTAAAAATGCAAAAGTAAGCCATTTTTTGCTGAAGTTTCGAATTTATTTGGGTGTAAATAGCTAGTTTTCTAAACCTTTACAACCTAAATAATTATTTTTGTAAAAAAATCATTTATTTTAAAGATGGCCACGAAACATTTGCATATATGTTGGTTTTCCTTTTGGTCGGTTTAACTAAGAAAAACTCACTCACCAAAGAAAAATGTTGTGATAGCTGTCAAGTGGAGATGAAGGATTTCATTTTGAGTTTTCTCAAAGCTTAAGCGTTTTTTTATTCTTTTACACCCAAAATCTTTCTTGGTCACAGCTACTTCTTGAGAACTCATATTTAATGCAAAATCTGCCATAGTTCTTGTGTTTATAAGTGCCAATAAAATCAACACACAATGTTTCTAAAAACAATATTTGGGGGGAGATTCTTGTGCCCGTGGACACCTTGCCAAGTGTTGATTGCTGGAGGAATGTACACATGTACAGCCATTGAGTATCACACAAAGTTTGATCTTATAACGTTTATTGGATGGAAAAATTACATATTTATCAGATTTTATGTGTAACAAACACCACACAGAAAGCAAGCTCGTGCAGGGTTATAGAGACTGTGAGCACGTAAGCACAATAACAGACAGGAAACTAAAATTAGCTCTATTGCAACATTCACAAAATCATTGTGCATTCCCAATTGTCAATAACTAAAACCATACACAGCAATGTCATGCAGCATTATAAAGATTACGAGCCCATATGCACACAAGCAGACAGAAAGCCAGAAATGCCTCTTCCGTAACATTCAATGCATTATTATGCAACCCCAATTGCCATGCAAGTGCACAACACTTGAAGCATACACATATAAGCAGGCTGCATTTCCACTAGTTCATTCATTAGGTTACAAACAATGAGTCAGTGGTCTTGCTGCACTGGACAAATGCCCACCTTAAATTTCACTCACCTTGGTGGTGCACAAGGGCCGAGTCGGTGCCTTGATATACTCCCATTCGACTAGTGCAAGGACAGCGTCTCTGAAGGTATAAACTTTCACAAACATGGTGCACAAACTATTTCTGTTCATTTGAATAATGCTTGTACAAGCACACATTTGGATAGCTAGAGAGATTTGATAGGCAGTTGTTTCTATTTGATTATGCACAACTAGACCCACTGCATATGAGAGCTAGCTCTATGCCCGCAATCTGGCGGAAGCTTATTGCGGAGAAGGCGCCATGTAACCGAGCTTTCGGTTGCACGTCAAAAGATCCCCAGGTGGTCCAAATTAATCCTCAGCCCTCCGCTGGGGCGTGCCAGATGCCCGTTGTTGGTTTGGCACGTAAAACCCCCAAATTTGACTTTGACTTGAGCTAGCTCTATGCACTATCACTTGAGGCACGGAAGTTTGCCATATTGCTGAAATATGTTTTGGTGGTCAAATTGTATTGGAATCATGCCCAATGGATAGGTAGTACTACCCAGGCAAGAGCCACATGGTGGCCAATAATAAAGCTAAACTATTTGTTTTGCACTTGCCACTTGAAAGAGTGACGGTACAAAACAGCAGGCGTGGTCTGTTATGACGAGTACGCATTTACTTCTCCAGATACAAGGTGCACAGAACAGCTGGTTTTCGGCCTTGGAATCGAACAAGTTCCATTCCCTATAAATGGCCATCTATATGTAAAGTTGGCGCAAGTTGCACCTTTGTATAACTCACACTTCTCAGATAAAAGGGGGCGTGCAACGATTTTATGGTTAAAAAAAATTTGCATCTCGTCATTTTCACATTGTTTATCGCGTCCCGGAGAATAGAGAAAACATCACTTTCATTCAAAATGTTGCGATTCCGCTGCATAATCGCAAAGCAAAAGCCGAGCTTTTTCCCCCACCTGCAGCCCGGAGTGGCAGCTGAAGGAACTACGGCTAGAAGGTTACGTGACCTCGCTCAGCTCTAACCTGCAGCCTAATGCCCGCTAATGTCAGCAGAGACAGGGAGAGGAAGCGTCCTCCGAGATACCACAGGGTAACCTACACGGCACTCCGAATGACGTCACTAGGAGTGTGACCCTGGAGACTGGGAGTGAGTTGAAGGGTGCCCGAAATGCCAATATTTATCTTTTTTTTACGCCACAACTAGGACACGCAGGCAAAATCGGTTTTCTGGTCTTTACTTCAGAAGTGTCGGAGGGCAACTTCCACAATTTTTTGACCGAAGTCCAGAAATCGTTACAAACCCCTTTAAGCTCCATAATAATAAAAAAAAAAAAAAAAATCATACTATAAATGAGCACATATTCACTACCTCAATATTTCGCGATTTTCTCAACATGCCTGTTTGCGAGATATTTTGTGGGCACAAATTTATGCGATCCAAAATGGTATGTTTTGTACTTGCCACCATGGAACTGTTTCTTCGCGAGATCAATCTTTTGCAAATTGTCTTCAATCTGCAAATGTTGCATCCTCACAAAAATTAAAGTGCTGCCAAAAAACCAACGAAGTTCATGAAAATAAAATTTAAAAAAAATGAAAGGTTCCTAAGGGTTCTCAAGTTAGTTCACAGGCTACGAGCTGATAATGTGTGGCTGAAGGTTGGCCAAAACACAGCACATGTGGAAAATGTCTCCCATTGCTGGTATCAGTGAAATGGGAACTCGGTGGTTAAGGATGTCGTAGAGCTTAATTCTTTGAATCATCCTTTCCACATGAATGCGCACCGAAGCAACTGCGTAGGTCTCTTCCATTTCCTCGGTAGTGAATGGAACGTTGCTTCCCGCCGAGAATGGTGGCATTACAAGGATGACCCCCCTGTCGGCAAGAGAAGCGCGAATGCCAGGAAATCCCTTGTCTGCAAGAACCATGTCGTCGCTTTCGAGCACATTCAAAAATCCAGAGTTTAGTGTGATGTATGTGTCTGAACATCGACCACCGTACGGTTTGGACCTGAACACCACCATTCCATTGGGGATGATTCCAACAAGGAATTTCAGTGTGTAGCATCCTTTGTACGAGGAGTACAGTACGTGCTGCTGCCTAATGTTGGGGGGTGTCTCCGTTTTTATCTCTGTGCAATCTACAATGAGAGTGCACTCCGGATAGTTTTCCTGAAAACAAAGCGGCTGCGCAAGCTTGATGTTGCTCACAGGAGGCTTACTGATCCAACCTTTAGTGACCTCTGCCAAGGTGCACAGCACAGCATAAAATGTACGGCAGGCAGTGGTCTCGTGGACCCCGAAGAGAGTTCCAACAGCGCTAAACGATATTCCCAGTTTCATTTTTGTGAGGAAGATCAGCATTTTGTTTTCTACTGTAACGTCACTCCCCCGGTCTCGAACCGTTGGCAGTAGGCTAAGCAGCAAAGCAAACACATTGCCGTCAACACCGCACAAGCTTCGCAGTGCATCTGGGCTATGCTTTATGCTGTCATAGCCACCAAAGAAGCAGGTTCTTGCATGAGGCCCAACTCCCAGGGATCTTGTGAGCTGCTCCTGTTCAGATGGGACAACCTGGCCCACAATTTTAGCTATATTATTAAGAAGAACCTGGCCACTGTTGTACAGTCGAACACTTGTACAACTAAATGTTTGGTACCATAAAACCACTTCATTTTAACAGTCACTTCATTGTAGCCATTGCCCTGGTTCAGGCAGCAACCTGAGTGAGGCCAGATCATCTTTGTTAAACAGGCCATTTAGTAGTAGAGGTGTTCAACTGTCAAATGCCCCACCCTGGTTTTTATTTTCAAATGCCTAAAAATTGCACTGCCCGAGTCAGAGACCTCTGCAGAAACAGGGCAAGTTACGAGGGAAGGTAAGTGAACTGTGGGGAACAAAGAAAATGGTTGTCTTTGGCTCAGTCAGCCCACAACGCAGTAAGAGGTTTGACAGCCCACGGGGTTTAGAGGCAAACATGAAGGTTGCAAATAGTTTTGGTCGCCAACTCAATCCCAAATAAACAAACTCACAAGCTCGTAACCAGAAACTTTGTGCCATTGACCCTACAACATTTTTAGCTTTTTTTCTGCTCTGCACCAAAAGTGTGCCCACTTCTTACTTTTCCTGCTCTCGATCTTTGTTCGGCTATCTCGTGATATTACTTTACTTACCATGCTGCACTCACCGATGAGTTGGTCCTCTTCAATGTCCATCGAGGACCACTCTCCTTCCTGATCAGCAGGACCAGAGATCTGTGAAAAAAGTAAAAGGTAGAAAAGGAGCATGAATCTCTGGTTTCCACCAACTGGTTTCCAAACTAAATCAATGAGCAGAGAACAGGCTTCAATAAATTTGCCATGCTTGTGACTTTTTCATTTTTTGCAAACTTACATTATGATTTTCAGCACTGGATGTTGGCTGGCATGTAGGACTTGATGTCGGGGGCACGCTGGTGGAAACTGGGCTCGGTGCGGTGCTTGAGGCTGTGGGAGCTGTGCTTGATGTCGTGATGGCTGTGCTTGATGCGACGGCTGTGACTGATGTTGTGGCGGCCGTGCCCGATGTGGCGACCGTGACTGGTGTTGTGGCGGCCGTGCCTGATGTTGAGGGCTCACTGTGCAGCGCTGGAACTGCCGGTGCTTTCTGAAGTCTTTTCCGCCATCTGAGAATAGCATACATGTGAATTAAGGCATGCTGATACCTATTCGTAGCAACAAGAAATGAAGGTTAGCAAATATTTAGAACCCAAAACTGAGCAGCACGACTTTTAGTGTAAACACGACACTGCCGCTTTCTCGGATTTCACTCAAACAGTGCATTGAGAGTCTGAAGTCATGCTACCTACATTGACGCCTCAAATTAGCTCTTTTCGCTACACAACAGAGCGTTTGATGTACTTCGACCAGAAAAGAAAGCAATAATGGCTTGTGTGCTAGTTGCTCCGTGTGCATGTTCTCCCACTCTGCGACAAAAAATGCTGCATTTAGAAAACGACTACTCAACAGCGTGGGTGAAATGGATTGAACACACTTTAAACCGACCGCATAAATCGGTTTCTTAACTTATCGCGCTGGGATTTGCTACAGAGGTGCTTGAAGCTGGTGCATTCATTAATTGAGAGTATGAATACAAGAAACCTCTAGAGTCAAAGAATACAAAAACTGGTTTTGTCAATGGAAAAATTATCGCCAAGCCTTTTATCACGAAATTATCAGAAAATCGTTGATGGCCATTCTGGCGTTTATCGAGATTGAAAAATTCGTGACATTGGAAACAAAATAGAGTTGGCTTGTCTTTTCTTCATTTCATGTGGCACAAATAAGCACCACAGTAACGCAGTATATATATTTTTTGGTGTATACATGCAAATAATAGGGGAAAGATTTTTGTTTTAATTTTTATTGATTTACTTAGGTGAGCGAATATTGCCACAATTCTAGCGAAAGCTTCCACCAACTTAAGACACCTCTGTAGTAAATCTCAGCGCGATAAGTTAAGAAACCGATTTATGAAGTCAGTTAAAAGTGAGTTCAATCTATTTCGCCAACGCTGTAGATTACCTTAAAAGCAAACCGCACCTGTCAAAACGTTCCAAGCCACTTGATGAGTCGAGTGGGAGCGGTCGTTTGTACGCCGGGGGAAAAATGGTAGGTACGTAGGCTGGATGGCCCACGCAGTTGCTCTTCTTGTTGCCGACGAAGTGCCGGCTACACATCCTCGAGTTTTGTGTCGGCTGCCAAGGCTTGCCATCGGGTCTGTTGAAATTTGCAAACACGAGTGGCCGTGCCTTAGCAGAACAGTCTGGAGGGCGAGAAAAACGAGTATCGCTTACTCAGTGCGCTGGGCGGCTCGTATCCAGCGTTCCCTCTGCTCGACTTCGTGCGGTTTGGATGGAAACCTGTAGAAGCTCACGCCGGGGTTGAGCCCTTCCTGTTCGTGACAATTCACAACGCAACAGTACCGTCGATGGCGACGTTTCGCGCTGCTTGCTGCCGGTTTCGACATGCTTGGACAAATAACAGCGGCTGCGTGTTGAAGTAAACAGCCGCCCGAGCAGGTTTGTTATCGCGTGGGGCGGGTGGCGCCGCGGGACTTGTACTACTCAGACGTTTTATCGCCCGCCACCGGAGGGCGCCACGATACGTTCAAAGCTTCAGCGCAGGAGGCCTATAAGCGAGGCACGCACGCGCGTGCCGTGGGGCCCGTGACTTGTGCAGGGGCACGAGGGAATAAACATTCTTTTTGGTTTGGCGTGACACGGAGTCAGTCGCATTTCTTTCGGGTGCCACCGAGCACCGATACACTAAGAGAAGGCGCTTGTTGGCGGCAAGGCATAGGACGTTCAACTTGGCGTAGCTTTTGAGTAAACAAAATGTTGTGATACCAGGAATGATGTGCGGATACTACGAATGATGTGCCAGCGTATGTATTTTTTCTTTCAGTTTACTAGATTTATATACTTGGGGAATAAAATAATGCCTCGATCGTACATGGTAACTTGTTTTCTAATAAATCATGCGTACTCAGCGGGCAAGCTTTGGTGTTTTACATCAACCAAATATGATGTTTACACCAACCACGTCCTGATATGCTGAAACGTTGCCGAAAGCAAACTCGATTTGGCACAAGAACACACTCGCGCGTGCTTATCATCAACATTCGAAGTCGTCTGCTTGCGATGTTGTCTCTTTCCCTCGAGGCCCAATGCAGGATCGAGTATTAAGAAAGCTATGGACAAATAAAACTAGAAATATTAAATCTCGAAGAAAATACAAAAATAACCAAAATATACTCACTTTCTAAAGTTGATGTGGTCATTTTTCTTGTACAAAGCTAATTCAATTCAATTTTCAATTTAATTCAATTTTTATTTTAAGATCAAGTCATACAAAATAAAGATCTGGCCCACAAAAGCAGCATTCTGCTTGTATGTGGGGCCAGGCGACTAACTAGAATACAGGTTGTTAAAAAAAAAAAAAAAACACTCTGCAGCACAAAAAAAAAAAAAAATGAAAGGAACACAAAATCAGCAGCACAAATAAATACAAAAAGGAGCACTTTAGAGCATGAAATATAGGTGTTTATAGCCAAGTCTACTCACGCAACCATGAAATAAAAGTACGAAATATCTCCAACGGTTAGGCTACGATATCTACAGCTCAGATGCTTGACACCAATTCCTTAGTTTCCTTTTTAATACCCTAGTGGATTCTATATCCATAGGGGACTCTGGGAGTTCGTTATATAAGGAAGGAATGTAATGATTTCTGTTTTTTCTTTCCATACAGTGTGTATATTTTTGGAATGACGTTTCTTCCAGTACGTCTCAAATCTCTATTTTTATTTACGAGGAGGTCAATCCGTTCCTTCGCTCTTCGCAACGAGAAGTTCTTTTTCAACGCTGCGTCATTCCAAAGTGGTGGAGTGAAAAAGGAGTAGCGCCTAGCACCTCCCGAAGTAGAAAGATGTTGTCTACTGCTGTAAACCGCTTGCGAGGAGGAGGCGGAGGGACGGAGGTAGATGCGGCGCTCATGTTGCTCTCTTACGGTACAGATAACAGACGATCACGGTCGTACGCCCGCGTACCGATCGTTGCGCCGTGTACGGTACGACCACGAAGAAAATATAAAGGAAAACCTATAACTTTACTGCTGTGCACTCATTAAAACTATCACCCAATATTGAAGGGGCTCGTTTGATAGGATATATGTGATTAGCATTTGTACAGAAATTTTTAATTCATGCAACATTTTTCAACTAAAAAGAATTCAGAGCCTTGATGCAGAAGGCTGTTGCTCACTCTGTTGCCACTACAGATAATCCTCAGTCATAACAGCAGCTGTAAAAAACGAGTGATAAGTGCTAAAAATGCACATCCAATGTTTGTATGAAAAAAAAAACTTACAATATGTAAAAAAAAAAAAAAAAAATGTCCGGGCCAGCGGGATTCGAACTTTCCACTACCGCTCCTCTACGAGCTCAAAAAACCGGCGCTCCAATCCACTGAGCTACCGAGCAGACGGCTGGTACTTGCGCTAAACACCAATTTATTTCTATTTAAAAAGTCCTATTGCGTTTTGTTCTTTATTCTTTTTCTTTTTTGCTGACTCAAACTTTATGGACTTGCTGTCACACATGGCGCTCCTGCCAGGCACTGCCACGAGTTATTTTCTTCATGTTTGGAGCCACGGCACGCTCTCTCCGCCAGCGAAATAGCCGTTTTGCTAACCAAGCGAGACTGTCCATGTCGGCCATTGGTCGTGCCGGTCGTGCCTTACGGTTCGACTAGCGCATTACGGTAAGATCGCAGAAGACAAGCGCATGCGCAGTTCGTACCGGACGGCCCATCGTACCTTATCGGATGTGCAAAAACGGTTCCCTAAAACTCTCTAATAGCATGGAGCTAGAAACCAACAAGAACAACGCAAGAAAGGTGATAATTCCGGCGAAAAGATTCCGTAGTCAGGACCGGGACGATAATTTCGAGATCAGCGACGACGAGATTAGCAGGATAGCTAACATCAACGATAGTTCTCCTCCTGAAACGACAAACAGTTGGACGCGAGTCACATACAAAAAGCAAAAACCACAATGGGGAACCCACCTTGAGCGCTTTGACGAACCAAAGATTGTGATTGTGGTGAAACCCACGACGCAAACCAGAATATCGAACATCTCATCGCGGATCCTCATGGACCAACTGAAACAGCTTTTTACAATTCCTTGCAACAGAGACCGACTTAGCTACGATCCCAATCACAGGAACAACACCATAGCCATTGCTGTTTACAGTGAGGCGCACGCAGGAGACATCTCCTCCAGATGAGCACTCTGACGCTGGGTGACGGCACGGAGGTAGGGGTCCAAACATACAGATCCACCGCGGGCCTCATGCCCAGAGAAGTAATACACGACGTGGATGCAGAGTTCACAGCACAAGACATTGTCGACTACTCAGACTCTGACTACTGCAATGTCCTACATGCAAGACCCATTGGGAGGAGAGGCACATTTCTTCTTGCGTTCGATGGAAATAGAGTTCCTAGGAAGATCACGCATCGCGGAAGACTGTTCAGAGTATACACGTACAAACCAACAGCCGTCCTGTGCCTCAAATGTCACGGCATCGGGCATAAGGCAGCTGTCTGCACGAGAGAGCAGAGATGTAGGCGTTGTGGTGAACCTCACCCAGAAGGAGAACAATGTGAAGATACGTATTGCCCTAACTGCCATGTGTCGGGACATACAGCCTTCGACCCCAACTGCGAGACCAAAAAAAGCACGGACGCAAAGCTACAAAGAAGAGCACAGGCAATGACACAGACAAAAAGCAAAGCAACAAATGTGGCAAGTGCGTCTCCATGGAAGAGGATGGCTACTGCCCTGCACAATCAAGGCACAGTTAGAGGAAGAACATCCTTTTACCAAAACCGCTTCTCCACCCTACAAGACCTCGAAGAGTTTCCGCCGCTGGAAAACACCGGCAGTACCAAGAAGGGCCCCACCGGCACCAACTGCACGGCATACAAACAGGATCTACCAAACGCCAATGCCAACATGGCCAAGAGAACGTCTTCAACGAACAAGACATCGATCGAAGCCAAAGAAAATCAATTAAAGGAACTTGAAAGACGTGTGGCCCAGCTCAAAGTGGAAATTGAAAAAGACAAACAAGAAGAAGAACGTGCCAAGCAACGCAGACAAACAGAACTGGAAAAAAAGAAGCAAGATGCGATCAAGAAGAGTGTTGAACAAACGATGGTGCTAATTCCCTCCTTCACAAAGAACCCAACACCGTCAGAAAACCCGCCGATCTGTGCGGTTACCCAAGCTACCCAAAGCGGGAATTGGGAAGAGAAAGTGCTGCGCTTCGTAGAAACACAAGCTCAGCAAACGCAACAAACACAGCAAATGCTACACCAACAAATTCAGCAACAAATACAGCAGCAGCAACAGATGCAGCAGATGATGCAGCAATTTCAAATCATGTTTATGCAGTTCCAGAAATCGCAAGTACAACAATGCAGCATAGAGGATACCTCCACCCCGACCCACAATGCAGAACAAACCATCTAGGGATTCCCGGAAGACTAAGACACTCGATTTTCTCCAATGGAACTGCCGGGGCCTCCGAGTTCGCAGGGCGGAACTTAATTTACGACTGCAACAAGAACCTAAAGATGCACTACTATTACAAGAAATAAATGGGGACAACATCGGTCTTAGAGGATACAGAAGCTTCACATCACCCTCAATCATCCACAAAAGAGGCAAGAAAGAAACGGTCCGAGCCCAAGTAGCGGTGTACCTAAGAAAACCACTGCCATATGAGCAGTTAGACACTACTCAATGGTGCAACCAAACCCAAGAAATAGTAGCGGTCCGCACAACAGATAACGACATCAAAATCATCCTCATATCGGTATACTACAGACCAGCACTTTTCACGAACGACGAGCACAGCTGGCTAACACACTTTGTTAACACGTATCCCAAGCACCACATCGTAATTGGGGGAGATTTCAACGCCTGGCACGCGGACTGGGGACAAGACCAACCCAATGAGAGAGGCGTCAAAATTCAAGATGAATATGAAAAAGCAGGGCTCAACCTACTGAATGACCCCGAAATTAAAACCAGGCTCGGACAAGGGCCCAAACAGAAAGACAACAACACCCGATTTAACCCTTGCATTACAAAAGTCTATAATAACCTGGAAATGCGATAATAATGACCCATGGGGAAGCGATCATTTCCCAATACACATAACACTAGAACTCGGAAGCAAACTTAAACTGAAAAGAAACAGCAAGACCATCATCTGGGATGATTTCAGAACAATCTTGAATCAAGAATACCACATAACTAACATAGACGAACTAACCCACGATATGAAAGACGCATCTGTAAAAGCGACAATTCAGAAAGCAGTAAACGCGGATGGCCCAAATCCTGACACACACCTTCTCTCACTCTGGCGACACAGACAGGAACTCATTGACAAATATAGAACATCCAGAAATCGCAAAGACTTAACTGAGGCAAACAAGCTTGCAAAGGAA